CTATTTTCATTCAAAATACTTAATCTTAATATATATAAAAGAAATATGAGTGCTGTCAGCGCATGGCAAAGTAGTATTACGTGAATGAAAGTTAGTATCAGCAATTTCTTATGCTGCAGTGTACGATGTATTGCATACCTATTTACAAACAATTCCTTTAAATTTTAATCATTGATTACTATACATCTATTAAAAATCATAATGGCCGACATCAGTGACAATGCGACAACAATTGAAAAAGAATGATGGCCGACAACTGCAACAATTAGAAAAGAATGATGGCCGACACTACGTCATAGTGGAGCAATAAACATGGCCGGGGGCAGGGGGAAGAATTAGTACTAATAAAAATAATAATAACTTAGTATACCTATGTATACCTAATACTTTCTAATCGTAAGTTAATTTTAGTAACAAGAAGAGGAGAAGTAACGATATGTTTTCTTAAGTAGTTGATAATAAATTTTTCTGTTTATCAAAAAAACTATCCATCAGATAAATTATAATATAATTACATCTGTTATGTAAAACTTTATACGTATCGTCATATACAGCATTGGTCTTGAAATTATTAAGTACTTAAGGAACAGGTGCTTATCTAATATTAAAAGATAAGATGGAAATACGTCAACGCATACGTAAAAACACACCCTCCCCTTTTAAAATAGTATTGTAAATTGTAAATAGGTACCTATTATAATACCTACATTCGTTGAATGGTTACTTTTTACTGTTACAATAAATATTTCACTTCTTTTTATTCGCCTTTATAAAATTGTCTTGTGCTACGTTATGCATATAAGTAAAAAATTCAAGTTTGTAAAATTGTGAATATAAATCACCCTGTATATGTATGTCAGACTTGAAATATTACTTACAGGGTGTAAAGTCTAGAAGTCACAAACATATTAGTTCACTTTTTACGTACATGTAAATTTCCTCTGTGTAATAGTTGAACTTTTTTAGGCAAATTTTAGACATTAACACTTAATTTTTGTTCATTTCACAACTATTAATTTTGTTATTATTATTTAGCTTAGTTAATCAGTTGGTAGTATTGTTTACTTTTACTTTAGTTGTCATCGTTGTCATAAATAATCAGGCATAATAATCATAATCTTGAGTGTTTACTTTGCCCTTGTGATACTGAATTTTACCTTATTTGATAATAAAGTTCATTTATATAGGAAGTTGCTGCACTATCCTTGATATTTTAAATAAAGGCGTTGTTTACTTACATTCATAAGTGAGCGACAAGACGCTATTTTAACTTCGTTTGGTATCGATGTTGTTGTCTTCAAATGTGAACGTGAATGAGAACTAAGATCAAAATGTGGAAAATGCCAAACAAAATAGATATTGTAAATCAGAAAGATGAGTGTTTTCACGAATTAATGGAAGAATGTAAACATTTACCTCCAGGAGCGAAATTAACCCTTAACCTTAGAATAAAATTGCAGAAGTTTACTCGTGAATGTAGAAAAGAAATAGTGAACAGAGTCAAATCAGGATGTGCCCCATTATTTATTGCATGCAAAAAAGGTCAGACAGAAATTGTAGAGTATCTAATCAATGTTTGTGGAGCTGATATTGAACAAAGGGGTCTTTATGAAGTCCCTGAAGATAGGTAAGCATCCTATTAACATGTATATTTCTCTTCCAATTTTTGGATTATATATGTTAAAGATCTGTCCATTGTGTAACTCCTTTGTGGTGTGCAGCAGTTTCTGGTAAACTAGATGTGATAAAGTGTTTAGTAAACAACGGTGCAGATGTAAATGCAGTATCTGATACAGGTTCTACTCCTGTTCGCTCTGCCTGCTTCATGACACATTTTGCAGTTGTTCAGTACTTAGTAGAAAAAGGAGCTGACATTAATAAACCAAATTATAATGGAGGAACCTGTTTAATAAATTCAGTGCAGAGTGTGACTTTATGTACTTTTCTTTTAAAAAATGGGGCACACGTTAATGCAAAAGACATTCAGAATAAAACAGCTTTACATTATGCAATACAAGAACATAGGTAAGTGGAATGTGTAATTATTTGTCTACAAGGTAATTCCTATATTTAAGAAATGATTGCTGATTTTTCTAGCTAGGATAATGTTCAATTTTTAGAAATTGATAATATAACTGGTTAATTCAGTTTATTTCTTTTTTTTTGTCATATGTGTGTGAAATTTATCATCTATACCATTAAGTATATTAATCTTGAATTATCTCAAGGTTTTAAATATTTATTTTACAAATTATATTTGTATTTAGTATCACTTGCCACACATAATGTGGGATTATTACAAGTATGTTTAATTAAATAATTGGACTTCTCTAGGTATCTAAAATAGTTACAAGTGGTCCTTAAAGTTATCAAATTTCCGGTTTTAGTTATGCAATTACAGTTGGACTGCTATTCTAGTTGAAGGTTCATAATCGATAAATTTTGTAGTGCTATTTGTCTATATTTCTGTCATGCCTTAATAAATTATTATTTGTACCTTAAGAATGACGATGACCTTATAAAAGCTATTTTGAAATACCTATTTACTTTTTGTACAAAGAGAGTGTGTAAGTGTTTATTGACCAATACTATTTTCATTCCTTTTAATTGAATAACACACTTTTAAGTGAAAGTGTCGTATATTTATTTGACTCAGCTCAAAGGCCTTTTTGTGATTTTAGTAAAATTTTATTGAAAAATATAGTGAATATGTCTTTTGTTTAGGTTGGAAACTACTCAGTTACTTATAAGGTACGGAGCAGATTACAATGCAAAATCAAGATACGGAGATGATGCTTTACAAACTGCTTGTCTTAAAGGAGCAATTAATATTTTCGACTACCTAACAGAAGAAATACCTTATTCAAGTGAGCAATTAGTTAATGCACATGAATTGCTAGGTTCAACCTGTTTAGATGAACAAAATGACATTATATCAGCTATTCATCATTGGAGGGTGGCACAGTATATGAGAGAGGAGATTCATGGTTGGTTATCATAAAATAATTTATATCAAAAATATAATTTTAAAATGTTTTAGGCCTATTACCAAAAACGCCTATAATGCCCCCTCGCGCTGCTTTTCATTATCAGACTGAATTTCAATCGGCAGAAGAATTGGATAATGTAATGACTGACTTGGATTCAATTAGATTACAAAGTCTTTTAATTGTTGAAAGAATACTAGGACCATATCATAAAGACACAGTTTTTAGGTACTATGTTTTTAGTGTGTCAAGTAGTTCCTTTTGGAATATTAATTGGAAATAATCTATTTTATCAATATTAGTGTTTTATTTCAATACTCTAATTTAATTGATTACAGGCTAATGTTTCGAGGAGCCGCTTATGGAGATGTAATGCGTTATCAGAAATGTATAGATTTATGGAGAAGAGCTTTGGAGATCAGGGTTGAAAAAGATGGTATATTTTACTCAGACACTTGTTTTACTGCACAAGCAATAATTCGCCAGATGATAGATTTCAATGAGAAATTTAAACAAAACGAAAACAACGAAAGCAGCGATCAGCAGAGATTTGAAGATGTTGTTGCCACTTTTAGACTTTTAACCGAAGATATTGAAGGTAGAAAATGTACAAAGTTTTATATTTATACATATAAAATAAAACCGATTGAAACTAAACAATTTAAACTTTTATTTACAGAAGCTCAACGACTACTAAAAATTCGGCCAGTTTTCAAGAGACAAGTAGAGAATTTCGATAGAATCCTTAAATGTATCACACACCTTATTTATTTACTACTTCAAACAGCTAAAACGGAAGATCAAATGATTTTTGTTAAGCAAATAGTGACTAATTTGGTGTGTATAAATCCAACAAGCGCCGTGACAGAAGACACTCTTCTTCATTTGTGTGTTTCAAAATCTAATACAATTAGATCCAGTTATTTCTTGGAAGAAGTACCTATGGTATGATTAAAAAAAATGTATTTACTGCCTATATCATTATTTATTTTTAATAAGTATATGTGTTAATTTGAGATGATACATCAGTAACAAGATGATTGTCTTTCTATTTTTTGTTTCTTTTAATTTACTTCTCTTGAAGGCTATATTTCCTAAGCTGGATGTGATACAGTTTTTATTGGACTGTGGATCTAATGTAAACGCAAGAAATGAAACAGGGTGCACCCCGTTGCATGTTGCCACGATGCCCAATAATAATGATACAACAGTAAGTTTGCTTTACATCAGTAATTTTACTAGAAAAGATATTACTTTTAGAATTTTGTTTTTTGAAACCCCATCTGTAAGAAAAGTTATTCATTGTTTTCTGTATTTGTTTTCTTAGCTTGTGAAGCTTCTTCTTCATTATGGTGCTCACATTGATCAGCCAAATTCATCAGGAGACTCTCTCGCGCGTAAAATACAAAATAATCGTTACACCAATGATATACCTATCTTCGACTACATCACCCTGAAATGCTTCTGTGCAAGAGAGATTGCAAAATACAAAATTAATTACAAAAATCAAGTGCCAAAAACGCTAGAGAGGTTCATAGTGCAACACGAACCGTAGCGACATACTTTCGAGCTTATTTTATTTTTTTTACAACGTACTTTTTTTTAATGAAAATATTAATTAAAAAAATACTGTCGAGTGCATTCTATATTATTGTCTTGCAATACAAAACGAGACAGACTTAAATAAATCATGATCTGAAGAAACAATTGGCGTTGGGAAAACGTGTACTGACTTAAAAATGTAGAATATTTTGCACGTTTTGTAGTACATATAAAAAAGAAATAATTAAACTATTACAGACAGTCGTGCTTTGTACGTTTTACTTGTGAGGTTTGCCAGAGTAGTCAAACTCGTTTCGGCATTGTAATGATAATGTACTTGCTCTTTCAGCAAATACTCGTGAAAAATGTGTGATAAATAATATTCTTTTTAAGTTTTAATATAGTTGTGATTCATATTCGTGTATTTAATGTTATTAATAAATAAAAATGTAACTGAAAACGTATTTTGTCTTTTATACTAGCATTAAGTACAAAAAAGGTAACATGTTTAAATATATTTTATTCTCCATTGAAAAAGATAAATTTTACATTAGAAATTTGGCTAAAGTGTCTGTCTTTGAGAATAAGTTTTTAAACATGTCTGTCCATTCCTTGTGCCATGATCTTTCAATTTGGTCCTGAATTCGTACTTTTGTGGCTTTATGTAACTGATCTTCAAGATCTAAAACTTTACAATTTGCCAAACACTTTTCTTGATACTGGTTGTAAATAAAGCATTTGAAATCAATAATCACTGTTTCAATCATTTTTGAGGTCTCCCCCAATAAAACCAGTGATGTACAATTCCACCAATCCCAGGAGATAAATTCTGCAGTTTTATTATTTTCCTCATTGCTATCAAAATTATCTACTATTTCATCTAACAGGTTTACTGGAGGTGATTTTATTGAAGCAAGGAGAATTCCTGTTTTAAGTACATCAGCTGCATCAAGTGATTTCTTAATAACTTTGGGACCATAATTATTGGTTTCAATCTGATCAGTAAAATTTTTAATGGTAATTGCATTTTCCTCTTGAGTATTTGTCAAGTTTTGTTTGCTTTTTGAGATATTATCATCAGCTACATACTTTATTGAGGGAGTTAAAGAATTTCCGGGCATTTTGCTTACTAGATGTACAGCTCCTAAGATAGTTAAAAAACCAATAGCATACGTTGTAAGCAATACTACAGATACTCCACAAATGTACTGCAAAAAGTCATTGATGTTAATTGTTTTTAAAAGATTTTCCAGTTCAGTGTATGTGAACCAGCCCCTATTTCTTCCTTCTTTTGTGGCAATGATTTTTTCTAATTCAACTAGTTTCTTCCAGAAAATACAATGATTAACATGAATATCCCATTGCTAATGAAATTAAAGTTAGTAGAAAATACCACGACCTATGTTAAAAATTAAATACACTTACAATTGCTTCAAGAAATTCTTTCTCTAACTGAATTAGTCTTATTGCTGAAATTCTACCTGACGCAGCCCATTCCTTAATAAAAACTTGGTCTTCTTCTCCATCATCATGCAAAAACTTACTTGAAATCATCTATAATACATGTTACACTACTTACATCGTAATCATAATAAAAAATACTTGTTTGCCTTATCAATTCTTCTAGCATACACATACTATATAGTAATTAACTTACCAATGATACTAGAAACAATTCAGAAGGTAAAGCTTGTTGCAGATAATCAGGATTAATTAGTTTTAAACGTTCCAAATAAAGAACAGCAAGAACTAAGGAACATGGTGATACACATGCATTTCGTGAAATTTTAGCAGCATCGTTACATTGCAGTCTTTCTAGTGAATGTCCATGTTGGGGTTGAGAAAACAATTCGGCAGCCAATTCTTAAAATACAAAAGTAAGACTTCTTTTCTTAAGCGGTGTGTAAATTCTCACCTGTTACTGGTAGACTCAAACAATCTGTTTTTGGTATTGAGCCATAATATAACGTCTTCTTTATTCTTTGTAGAAATTTGTTATGATCTCCAAAAAACTGAAAATTATTTAATTTCATAATGGATGGTTATTCTGTATTTTATAAAACTAACCTTAAAGCGTGCATCTTTGGTCTTCATAGGCATATTTGTAAACGGTTATAATGAACAAAAAATTTCTAATTATGCCCAAATAAGAGACACTATGAAGCGCATGTAATATGTAATGTATCAGCTAGAAGTCAAACGCAGCACCTTGACAATTAAAACTTGGATCAGCCGATGATTAATTAATGAACATAGATAATTAATGAATTTACTTTTCTAAACTTTGTAAAAGTGGCTCATTTATCCGAAGTCCATGAACCATAGCAATATTTCTATAAAGAGTAATGGGATTTACACAACGATTATGTTATATAATTTACTAAAACCGTGTACTTTTAAACTGCAGATTTATTTGCTATAAACTCATACACTTGATAGACATAACTTGAAAAATTTACTTAAACTTAATTTTATTGGATGGTGTTATTTAGTCACATAAGTTGTTTTCATTCCGGTATTGTTATTTATTATTGTCTACTTGTCAACAGTCAAGTGTCAGATCAAGAGTTTAGAAAATTGATATAATGTTTTGATAGCGATAACTGTAAAACTGGATAATTAAAGGATTAAAATTTATTGCATAACAACAGTATTAGCATACAAATGTTTATAATAAACGATGCTCCAATTTTGGAAGAAATCAGGTAACTTATTTTGAAATAAAAATATATCATTGAAAATTAAGGTTAAATTGTACATTCTAGGCCATAAAGAGAAAATTAATATTTCTCCTATAAGAAATGATTCAAATAGTCCTACACACTCAAGATTTGACGAAAATGCTTCAAATATTTATGAAGATCAAACAAAAAATGTCAATGTCAATCTTTTAGAAGATGAGGGCCTTTCTGACACAGGCAAGTTAAATAGTCTTGGAAGTCAATAAACCACTAATTTGTATTTAATTAGATGGGTCATTTTTTACATTAGTTGACATTGGAATTGAGACATGAAGTTTAGTCAGGTAGGTAGTACTGACCAAGTAGAATCGTGTGGTAGCATTAATTCCGTGCGGAAACCAATGTAGCTTGAGATACAGGCCCCTAAAGTTATTTAATCGGAGGAAATTTCGATTGGTACGGCCCTGGCTGCAGCCCTTCGTCAGCTGTTCTCGCCAAATATGCATTGATGACGTCATTGTTTAGTTAGGTAGATGTATGATAGACTCGAGTTTGTTTAATGCCCCTGCCCGCCGAAGGCGGGCTGATACATTAGAATAATGTTAGGAAGATATGTTTTAGGACAAACGATGTTTGGCGGGAACAGCTGACGGAAGGCTGAAGCCAGGGCCGTACCTACCGGAATTTCCTCCGATTAAGAAAACTTTAAGGGCCTGTATCTCACTCACATTCATTTTTAAACAAATAATAAACAAAATTCTAGTAAATACTACTACACTACTTTACTTGGTGAGTACTACCTACCTGACTAAACTTCATGTCTCAATTCCGATGTCAACTAATGTAAAAAATTACCATTAGATGTTTAAGATTATCGATATAACAGTTAGTTTTTTACTCTTGAGAGAATTTGAATAAGTAGATAAGATACAGGCATAATTCCCCATGAAAATTGAATATATATCAAACTTTATTTTATAGTAAAGTACAGTAAGCAGTTATTAGCTTGTATAATTGTTAATATGACTCTCAAAACAAATACTACAGACATATTCTTATAATTTTTAGAAGAAAGTGATTTGGGAAAGGATCATTCTCGTTTATCTAAAACTCTCCAAGAAGTGTTCAGTGATAGGTCTGCATTAGATTACTTTGTACAATTTCTTGATTCGAAAGATTGCTCCTCTTTGATACATTGCTGGTTAGATATTGAGGACTTTAAAGCATGTGTAGATAGAGAAATTAGACATAGAAAACGAAGGAATGGGAATGGCTGCAGTCAAAAATTTTTGTCACCTGCACGAAGTATTAAGATAGACCATGATAGTTTATCAGTAAGCACAGATGGAGATTCCTTCACGATTGATTCATGTAGTTTGACTGAATTTTCGTCATTAGAAAATAAACCAAAGATAGAAGAAATTAACTGCAGTCTTCATGATGAAAATTGTAAAAAAAGCGATTCTAAATTAGAAATATTAAATATTTATAATCATGACACAACAAAAAAAGATGGATCATCCAGTAATACTGACGATCCACAGGACGATCTAACAGAAACGGCTTTAAGAATTTTTAAAAAGTATATTTCTTTAGAAGCCGATGAAAACATTAATTGTTCTGAGGATATTCGAAAAGATGTGATAGAAAACATATGCACAACAGAAAAACTGGTAGACCCCGATTGTTTTACAAGAGTACAGAATTATATTTATGAAATGTTGGATAAAGAATATTTTAACTCATTTCTAAACAGCGATTACTTTTGTAGACATCAAATAGATGTACTTACAAGTGGCAATGTTACACTAGAAGATATACTTTTTAACGAAACGGCACTATTTTATTTCATGGAATTCCTTGAACAAGAAAATCAGCGACATTTGCTTGAATTCTGGATTGCAGCAAGCAATTTTCAACAGCAGTTGCGAGACCAGAAAGACTTTTTAGATCCTGCAGAAGTACAGGGTGATGCTGTGGTGCTGTATGATAAATATTTTTCACTTCAAGCTCATTGTCCATTGGGGTTCAGTGATAAAGTCAGATTAGCTGTAGAACAAAGTATTTGTGGAGAAAATGGTGTAAATTATGACTGTTTCCATTTACCTCTGAAAATAGTTGAGAAATACTTGGAAAAGAACTACTTTAAAAATTTCTTGTGCTCTCAGTTGTATTACAAATATCTTTCAGAGCTTATAAATGCCGTTCAAAATTCGTGTTCACATGGTGCAAATAAGCATAAAAGAACTCCATCAGATTGCAGTAGTGAGAAAAGCTTTAGTACAACAACTACATTTTTGGCGATGGAAAACCCCAATAATAAGTGGAAAACTGATAAAAAAGCTGCCGATATGAATATCGATACAAGGCAGCTGTACGATCCCGATGCTTTATGGAAACGACGAAAAAAACACAGGCTCTCTTTAGGAAGAGTAAACGCGTTAGGACGATACGAACCTGATTTTGAACCTGATCCTGGAAAGAAATCTGAATCGAAATTAAGAAATGTGGTAAGAAAATTTGTTAACTTAGACGAAGATAAGCAGAAAGAAGAAATGGCTTGGCAGGTCGCAGAAATGATTATTAAAGACATAACGAGTATTACTCTTAATGAACAAAAGCCTTCCTAGTCATAAGAAGCATTTTTATTAATTATATCTTCATTTTTAAATACGAACTTTATTCTTATAAATAAGAAAGCAGAATTAGTATTTATGATATAAGGATATTTATAATAGTGCTCTTTATTTTTCAAATATTTACGGTTCTCTATTATTCATTAAAGCAATAGATAATTTAATTAAAGATAATAAATTGATTTTATACCAATTGCTAGGCAAACTGAATGATCAATTATGTGGTTTTTTTATTTTTGATATATGTAATGCACAAGTATTAGTTAATTAATTTCTTCTTTTCTCAACTAAACACTTTTCATTTCAATATAAGCCTCTTTTTAAATTAATTGTTTGCATTTTTATGAAAGAGTGGATTATATCTCTGATTTTATAGTCATAGTTCAAATTTTTAGCAAACAGTTACATGACACTTAATTATTGTAGTTCATATGCTTGATTGATTAACAGAACCATCAATATTGGAAAAGAAGTTTTATTAAAATCAGAAATGTTACAGCTTGTAATATCTACTGTTATACCATTGTTTTCATTTTATACAATTAGAAAGTTATTTTTAATACACTTACTGAATTTCTTCTAAAGCTGTCTTTATGCACAGTGCTACCTTTATTTCTACTTCATATTGTGCCAATTATATTTATGTTGATTACTTAATTTGTATAATTTTATTATATTCTGAATGTACATATTATATTTAATTAAAAAAAGGTATCTTTAATGGTGTACATTTAATGTATTGATAAAATGTGATATTGTTAAAAATGTATGGAAGAATATTTTTGTACGTTTGTGGTGTGATTTCAAAATAGATTNAAGATTTGGGTCACTATTTCATTTTTAGAGAGTTCTATGCAATCGCGTTTATAGCACCACAATCTCTTTCTTTTAACGTTCTTTATAAAAAGAACTCTCGGCTCTTATGCTCTCCTAATACCAAAATCCGAAAATTTGAAACGCGCGTTTTATAAACTATTATGCAACCGCAAGTCTCTACGCTGCTATTATGCGTTACAGTAGGTGGTTTTCTGGGTTTAATTCCAAATTAAAGGGTTGTAAAATATCAATGTTTTGTCACAAATGTTACGAAACATCCTCAAAGCTCTTCAGAAATAGAATTTTTGATCTTTTCCTATGAATTTACGATTTCTTTTATATGTATGCAACTTGAAAGGAAATGAAATTAATTTTTTATTTTATTTTAATACTTTTCTAAATTCGATTTAGATAAGAATTAATTTACTATTTTCATTTTTCGATTCATTGTTTTTGGAATTAAAAGGTACGGTAGGTTTTCTGCTTATTGCACCTAATTGAATTTACTATTTTAGATTTGCTTGTATATAAAATGTGATATTGTTAAAAATGTATGGAAGAATATTTTTGTACGTTTGTGGTGTGATTTCAAAATAGATTAAATTATTAATTTTGGAATGAGCATTTTTCATTCACTTTTAATTGCAGTACTCTTTATGTTTATGTAAAAACAGAAAATAAAAAAAATAGTTTGAAAAGAAAGATACTGTGCACAACTTTATCAAACTAGAAAGTTAAAATTATTATCCACTTATGCTTAGTTTATAACAGCATGCGCTCCTTCTGCACCACAAGAAGTTATTTCAAGGGAACTTGTTAGTTGATTATGTAACTTTTATGCTCTTATTTACAGTATTTGACAATAAATTATGTACAGTACATCATTTATCAAAAATTGTGTCGTCTCATTTGTTATTGCCCAAAGTCACGGTCATTTTGGCTGCACTTTAAAACAGACCAGTAATATTAGTATTATTTGATAATACTTATTCACTATAAAATAAGACAAATTTACATTACATAAAAAATATAGGTAACCAATAACAACTCCTACGTAACTTACATTCCATTCCTTCTGTTTTATTCACCCTATAATCTTGAATTTATCATTAAATGTATTTATTATTTAATGTATTGCATTATATTTACCTAATAAAGATGAAACATTCACTAAAAATTAAAATTCATGTGGAATCGAAGACTTAATTGTGGGTTAAGGCAATAATTTGTGGGTATTAAATTTTTTTGTCGTAGCAAATTCAACAAAATAAAACACATTAGTTAAACTAAATACTTATCAATTATCGATAAAGATATCGAAATTTGTCTACATCACTGCATTTTATATTTATGGATCAATTTATATTAGTTTTATTAAATGTAAACAAACAGTACGCCATTGAAATAATTGTAGGCGGGTCTTAACGTTATTTCAAGACGTTGTTGAATACTGCCAGTACCGTAACTATAATTTGCATTAAAAAACTAAATTAAACTTGGAAATTACATTAAATTAGGATTTGGATTATACTGTGATTAATACTGTATGCTTCGGCGATATGTTTAGTAAGATTTGGGTCACTATTTCATTTTTAGAGAGTTCTATGCAATCGCGTTTATAGCACCACAATCTCTTTCTTTTAACGTTCTTTATAAAAAGAACTCTCGGCTCTTATGCTCTCCTAATACCAAAATCCGAAAATTTGAAACGCGCGTTTTATAAACTATTATGCAACCGCAAGTCTCTACGCTGCTATTATGCGTTACAGTAGGTGGTTTTCTGGGTTTAATTCCAAATTAAAGGGTTGTAAAATATCAATGTTTTGTCACAAATGTTACGAAACATCCTNAAATTTCAATAACTTTTTAACGGTTTAGTGAATCGATTTGTAATTTTTACAGGAGTTTTAGAATTGAATAAGGAACGTTCTTCCAAATTTTTATTTGTCTCGTAGCATTTTGACATACCTCCCAAACATCCTTAAGAAGAGAGACTAACTTGATAAGAAAATATCATACCTATCCTGATAAAAATGTATCTTTTTGAAGAAAAATGTTTAAGAATAAGTTAATTTTTAGCTCTTTCTCTCAAGTATCATTTGTATTAAATAATTAATTTTCAACATCAACCGCAACGCAAAAAAATGACATATACTTAGGAAATTACCGTGTGAATATACCGGCATGGACATAACACTAGTTAATACAACGCTTAATTTTATTTGTAAGATGATACAAGATAATTTGTTTTTTATGAAGAAACACAGTATAGATCATAATTTCCCATCAGTTTTACCCTTACGTTACTCAAATAGCCTGTGTTTTTGTAATAAATAGGTCTTTTAAATTCAATTGCCAGCAATTTTTCTTACATGGACACTTACACTATATGAGTTTAATATAAGTATATTATATTTGATAAAACCAATAATCATTTGTATGTAGAATAGCCATTAATACTAGATCTTCTTAAACTTTGTAGCAAAGGTAAATTTTCGTCGAAGCTGTCTACTGTAGAGCTATTTGGCGTATTGAAATTTTGAACTTCAGAACTTTCCTGCTTTTTCCATGGTACGATAATTTTTTCTGAACCACTATTCCATCTTCTGTACACCAATGAATTAAAAAGAGCTTGAAGGGGATTAGTAAATGCCTGAATTAAAAAAAAACAAAACAGAATTGTATTAAAATAGTCTTTAGGTAAACGTATGCAAGTATAATCAAAAATAGTAGTTATTTTAACAAAATTTTTAATTTTTATATTTTCATATACTAATATTACTACGTAATTAACAACAATTTGTTTTTAATATGCTTATTTTCGAAAAGATATATTAGGTAATATTATAAATGTAGGTACTTAGTACTTACCATCATATACCAAATATTTGTTAACAATTCAACAGGAAGATTGAACCATAAAGTCCAAATAAGTAACCCATTTATTAAATTTGGTAACCAGCATAGATAAAAAACACAATTTATTGTAGAAAATTTTACTCTAACTGCATCTAAAAGGTCCCTTTCCCGATTTGTGTATTGGCCGGAGGAACACGTGATAATTTTTTGCATATCCCTCGTAGAAAAAAGGTACAGACAAGGGTTGGCTATCATGACAGTCGCCATAGGAATATATGTGGCGAGATAATTAGGGAGGATACGTGTTAGGGTGTCCATCAGTGTAGTATTAACGTGACAACTAAAACAATTATGACTTACAGGTGTAATATAGGTGGTAAGGTAATAAACAGTGATACAATTAGTTAAGGTACATAATATCAAATATTAATTTGAAAATTCATTCTCATTTTTTTCCACTATAAGTTACCTCAAATTAATGAGAAAAATTTTTGTTGCTGTTGTCACACCCTCGTCCGGAATCGAGAGCGGGAATCAAATTAATATTTAATATTAATCACTAGAAATTTCAATCATAAAAAATTAATGACCTTTTAGTTGACGGATTTTAGTATTTTTAAATCTGTAAAAAACAACGATTGGACTTAAGACTATTTAATTGATGCAAACCTGCAATAATAATAAATAAATGAATTGTTTTGTTTTAAACTCACTTCGCATCTGGGAGGTACAGTAATCCTAATCCAGCNATTACATTTCTTTATTTTGAGTGCAATACTTAACACCGTTAACATTATTCTAAATAACGTTTTGTAATACTCCACACATTGTCACAAGGGGTTGTCATATATTAAATACTTGTTAATTGCTTAAAGTCTAATAACTCCCTTGTTACATATAATAATGTTTGTAATATGTCAAAAGTAGAACAATAATTTCGTAGAAGTTTTTATTACAGACACGACACAGGTCTCTGCAGCCCGAGTTAATAAAAGATTCTACGAAATATTTTTAAATCTGTAAAAAACAACGATTGGACTTAAGACTATTTAATTGATGCAAACCTGCAATAATAATAAATAAATGAATTGTTTTGTTTTAAACTCACTTCGCATCTGGGAGGTACAGTAATCCTAATCCAGCAGTTGTCAAAACTGCAGAAATTAGCCAAGCTGCTATGTGATAAGAGGCAAACCACGAATCTTTTTCACTTAAAACAAGTTTCATGTCAATTGCATAACATAAAGTCCATATCCAACTAGCTATATAAAAATATTGAACCCAAGCCTGAAATTTATTGTTTATTGTTAACGGGACGATAATATTAATATTTTTAATGTTACATAAAATTTTTAACTACGGCATGTACTTAACTATAAAAAGTTACAATAAATGTTAATTCTATTTATAAGATAAACTATTTTTTTATTAAAATTATTATTTGTTATTTGCATAAAAGTACTTACTTAAAAAAAATAGAACTTACCGATGAAATGACACAAAATATAACACTAGAGTGATCATCTACAGCTGGCATTATATTTTTATTTCTTATCCATATGAGAGATCTAATAAATACGCCTATAAATACAAGAAGAAAAGAACATAAAAATTTCTCTACCAAATTTATCAATTTAGTTTTTTTAATTTTATATCCATGTCAGGGCTGGACAGAACTTTAGAATTTTGTGCTTAATAATGGTCTTCACAATCTTCAGTTTTCATGTAAGGACTTCGGGGTTGGAACTCTTTTAGTGAAGTGGGAAATTCCTATTTTAGAGTTTATTGATAATATCGTAAAAAATATTTTATAATCCTGATATTTGAAGAATTGAAACAGTTTTTATGAAATACACAATGTATTTAACTCTGAATTTCCTTAACTGTTTTCAGCATATGTGCATTTTAATGATAATTGTAATTAACTAAAAATAAGTTCGATATAGTTCTACTTTATTACAATCCAGCGTATTCATTACTGGTATGGTATTACAAACTTATGTTTCACCGCAAGATTATTTCGTAAGTTCAAACTACATTTTTATTCAAGTGAGTATGTTGGTCAGTTTTTGTAAAAAGTATAGATAACCATTAATCTTTTTTTGTATTGTCCACTTATATTTAAGGGGGNATTCAGGTACTGTAATTGTTTTAAATTTAAGAAGGAGCTGTCGTCGGTACTGGTGATGGTAAGTTAGAAATTATAGTATTATTAAAATATCAAGAATAATAAATATATAATTCTTTGAACAAGAGATCTAAAATCATTAAAAGATCAATAATATTGGTAATTTTTTGTTTTACTGTCTCGATTTTGAAAGTAAACTCCAAGAATAAATAAAGAGATACATGATAACGCATATCATGTAACTGAAGTTATTACAATTAATTGATAACAAAAATGTATGAAAATATTATCAGTTAATTTTGTATATTTAACTTTGCATTTTCAATTACTCCCAAACTGTTGCACCAAAATAAAAATGTGCATTTTTTTGTAACATCTGCAATGGTTATTAACTGAGGAAGGGTTTTATGTGATTTATATGTAATAAATTATTGAAAAATTCTTCTACTTATATTTGTTAAAAAATTATAGAAATAAAAACGTTAAATTTTAATTAAACAAGAAGAATATTACTTTAAAATCCAAGAGAAAGTCTCTGTTATTGTCTGTTAATACTGACCTAGCGAAGCAAAAAGATCGGAAACAGCCAGCCAAATAATAATCTTACGACCCCTAACAGCTGTAAACGAATACCATCTACCACTTTTCGAAAATTGTTGACGTGGTAAAATCTAAAAGTCACACCTATCAACACTTATTATTATTGTATTTGATCGTGAAAATTTCTAATAATAAAATCATAAGGTACCTAACTCTAATTCATTACCTGATAGAGAGCTCCCAGTATTCCAAGGGTGGAGGAAAATAAACAAACACAATTGTATGCTTCTGTGTTAAATTCTTTCATAATTGCCATTGTTATATTCGAAGTGTTTGAGTGATGACAACAGAAAGTTTGTATTGTAGGATCGGACATTGCAACAATTTTTTTTATGAAGGAAATTTGAAAAAATTACTGTTGAAGCAAATACTACAGTAATCTTTGTTCTGCATCAACACAACACGTTAATTATACAAAAATTCTTCATTTATTAACACAAGACGTTCTACTAAATAAACACAAACTCCTTTACATCACGAAAATAAAATTAAACTGTTATCAGTTTGACTTATGATCACCGCCTTATCATTTTTGATAAAAAATCGTTTTTTAGCGCTGTAGTTTAAAACAGAGTGATTCTTTATAAGGGTTTTCGGTTAAGAGTCGATATAGGAGTTTTGAAACTTGAAACACCTGACCAGTCTGCACGGGACTAGTATTATTCTAAGGTTTCACCAGGTGAACGCGAATTACAAAAAAAGAAGGCAGAGAATATTTAAGAGATAGAAGAATTGCACAGGCGATTTTGATTTCTTCTTTTTTTTTTTGATTCAACATTCGTAACTTTGAACATAATAACATATTGTACTCTAAAGTTCTTTTGACAACTTTTGATAAGCAATATTCTGGCTTGCATCTCTGAAAAATTAGTAATGTAATTTGTAATTTCAGTATTTGTTTTATTTAGACACATCTCTTCTAATCGTTAGATAACACAATATTCATTTAGATGACCTAAATACATATTATGTGTATTGTACATACATGTACCTACAGTTGAATTAAAGGTACCTACACATGTGCAATGTACTATCTATTTATATAAACAATAATCTGTTTTTTTTTGTAAATTACATTTCTTTATTTTGAGTGCAATACTTAACACCGTTAACATTATTCTAAATAACGTTTTGTAATACTCCACACATTGTCACAAGGGGTTGTCATATATTAAATACTTGTTAATTGCTTAAAGTCTAATAACTCCCTTGTTACATATAATAATGTTTGTAATATGTCAAAAGTAGAACAATAATTTCGTAGAAGTTTTTATTACAGACACGACACAGGTCTCTGCAGCCCGAGTTAATAAAAGATTCTACGAAATAATTTTTATAATCTGGTTATTTTATTTAAAACTATTCAAAATGCGTCAAGCGTATTTTCAATACACTTTTACACATTTTAAATAATTTCATCTATTTTTATTTTATAGACGAACTTAAAACTAAAAAGCTAATTGTGTGCCAGACGCCTCCACCAAAAATGCATTATGTAAATAAAATAATTTAAAGAGGAAGATGCAGTGATAATTGTTTTAACTTTTATTCAGTTTCATATAAAGTCAATAAATTTTAACAAAACCATAAAGAAGAAAACTTTAACGTAATAAATTAATTAAATATTAATAAGAAAGGAAAAGACACAGTACCATAATGAAATAAATAATCAGTTGCTTTATTTTTAAAATTGTTCCTAATTTCTAATAGTTTCCAAAATATATAACAAGCCTTACTTTGAGCAAAAATTACACTGCTAACGTTAAATTGTTTTCGTAAAATATCACTCAATGTCGCTGCTATTTTTCCATTTGAAACCTCTCATGCATGCAGTTGTTTAATTGGTTGTTGTTGCAACATTGTATGCGTAACTTGGCTTAGAATTGTTGATATCCTTCATTTCTTGCAATTTATACATTCCGACTAGGACATTGTGAAAAGCATTTCGTGAGTACAATTCTTTTTGTTCTTCAGTGGCGAACAATAACTTTCCTCCCAATTTTGACATTAGGGATTCGTAAAGTTTGGATTTGTCTTCATCGGTTTGTGGTATTGATCCTATATATGATTTAATATCACTGTCACTGCTGCTTTTTAGTGAACGAGATTCTTCCGAAACACTAGATTCTGTTGTCGAAGATTCACTACTAATATTCGTTTCTGTTGCATAAAAATCTTCATTTAAATCTTCAAAGCCGTACCGTGGTTTACACTCTATTTCAACGTAATCACTTAGTATTAAAAAAGATAAACAAATAAACAAAAAATGGCGACACTGCAAGGGATACATTTTTTGGAGTTTCTTAATTTATTGATCGGGATGATCTTGTATATCTTATACAGTTTTTCAATCTATTGCTGTTCCTGCTTGGGAAGAACTAGGTATTTATCTGAGTTTCTGTATTTGTATTCATATCGGATGTTAAAGGTCAGCAACTCTAGATTAGAATGAATAATTTATCAATTTGGTTACTGTATTTAATATTACATGAAACTGATTTTAACATATTTACTTATGTGTATGTCAAACATCCTCGTATAGAATAATTAGTTAAAAGTCGATTTGCTTGAACAGACAACACACATAACAACAATAAATATTTACACAATGAATAATAAAATTGTTAAATCAAAAATACTTGGCAAGTTTTACAATATATATTTATTTTTGATTCTCTAACGATTGTTTCTGTTAATTTTCAAAAAGTAAATCGAAAAAGTTGTTAAAGAATCAGAAATAAATACAAATATCGATTTTATTATTTTAGAGAAATTGAAAGTTCCTTTTTTTATTTGTGTTTTGATTATTTTAATCCATAAATCATTTTTTGTATCAATAATTTCATAACAGAAAAGTGTGACAGCTAAAATGTGATTTTTATAAGTAGCTATAAAAAGTATTAGAACTGTTTGGATTTTATAATCGTGCTAGATTACTGACTAATTTTTACATAAAAAGACAATACTGTCATGAGACCGATTTATTTTTGGATATTTTACTAAACTAGATACTGAACTACCCTACTTAATATTTCTATTTGATAAATTTATCTTTTTATTTAATTTGTAGCCTTTTTGTAACCTTTTCCTTCTTAAAAAGAAAAATTAAATAATATATTTCATATAAAATGTATACGTAGAACGACTGATGGAAATCTTTTCTTCGAAAATATAAACTTAAAGAAAGACGTTAGTAGTTATGATATAAAATTTGCTAGTAAAGATTTCATCCTAGAAAGTTTTAAGAATAATTTTCGTTCTACGTATATCCATTGGTTCTTATTTATTTCTGATGATGATATTTATATTGCACAACAAATCGTTAATTACAAACAATGATAACTGACAGATAAACTATTTACTTCAACAATGTTTCTAATAAGTAGTTTGTGCAATTAGTAAGTCGAATTCTTGAATAGAAAATTTTACATGATTGAGAGTATGACTAATAATATGCATTACATTTTTGTGCATATAGGGTATAGCTATATGTGTAAATAAAATAAATGTAAAGTATTGTACAAAAACGTATTTTTTACCTTTTACAATTTATTTTATTAAATTAGGTGAATTTTATTGAAGTAAGAATACGAATAAGGAAATCATAATTCTCCCTCAATAGTCGCGTTTAATGCAAGACAAAATCCCAAATTCAAACAAATTTTGTGAACCAAGAAAGTGCATCTATTAATAAATTAATAATCATAAAATAAGGAAAGTTTCTTTTTAAGTTATTTACTAAATCTCTGATCTACCCCTAATGATCAAATATAACATCAATGTGGGCAATCATCAATAGATTAAATAAGAGAACGTTATAGTACGTCAATATAAGCGATTAACAATTTTTGAATGAACCTTGTTGTAGAAACTTTCGTTCTTTAAGGATGTTTGGGAGGTACAATCGGAGACAAGAGTACATAAAATTAGAAATTCGTGATTAATTAGGTTTTGCAGCATATCATGAGGTAAGTAAATACTATCTATACTAAAAAAAAAGTATACAGTTTGAGAGAAAATTTGGAATTTGACCAAAAACTTTGAATAAAATAAGAAATAACGAATAATATGGAAAATTTTTAACTGACTTTTGGCAGTGAATATGCCTTGATTTCAACTTCGAAACAAAAAAATATTTAGTTTCATTCTCTATTAAAAATGACCGTAAAACTTTTTAATATGTTTAAATAATAATCAAAACATTAAAATTGCATTTATTTCAGACGGTTATAAATATTATCATTATATTATTAAGTAAAAACGAGATTTTCCGCTAATTTTTCACTTTTTCCTCGATAACCATTTAGTGAATTTGAATAACCTTACTCTAAAGTGATTCTCCAGAGTTCAAGTTACTTATGATAAAAGTTTGAAATTTCTGGTTCTTTTTTTCTGTTAATAAAAATAAATTTAATCTGTTCGGTTAACGAATCTCCATAAAATGACGTGTAAAATTATAATTTTTTAAAATTTCAATAACTTTTTAACGGTTTAGTGAATCGATTTGTAATTTTTACAGGAGTTTTAGAATTGAATAAGGAACGTTCTTCCAAATTTTTATTTGTCTCGTAGCATTTTGACATACCTCCCAAACATCCTTAAGAAGAGAGACTAACTTGATAAGAAAATATCATACCTATCCTGATAAAAATGTATCTTTTTGAAGAAAAATGTTTAAGAATAAGTTAATTTTTAGCTCTTTCTCTCAAGTATCATTTGTATTAAATAATTAATTTTCAACATCAACCGCAACGCAAAAAAATGACATATACTTAGGAAATTACCGTGTGAATATACCGGCATGGACATAACACTAGTTAATACAACGCTTAATTTTATTTGTAAGATGATACAAGATAATTTGTTTTTTATGAAGAAACACAGTATAGATCATAATTTCCCATCAGTTTTACCCTTACGTTACTCAAATAGCCTGTGTTTTTGTAATAAATAGGTTTGATGAAGAAGTCGTATAATTAATAATTTAACAGTTACGGTATTGTAAATTTTCTGAATAAATTCTTTAACATATCATTTCCAGAACCTGTTAATGACGACTGTACATAAAATATGGATACTGTAATAGGTACCATAATCCAGAATTATGACAGAAAATTTCTATGTGTGAAAGACGTAAATAAGTACCTATTAACGTGTTAATGTTTTCAGATAACATCTGATTTTATCAGTACGCATAATAGCTCGGCTTTGAGCTTTGTTGATATTCACGGCTATTAGGTACGTGTACGAGTAGTCATACGGATTCTGAAGTACTAGCTTTGTAATAACTTGGAAAAATCCAATTATATTAAAAAAATCAAACTAGGTATGACACCTGCGTATATTACTTTCATGTATTTATAATGAAAATACACACATATTATGTTTTGTTTAGAATTTAATAAAGTATTATTGTTGTATATCATTTGTACACATGTATGTATACACTGCATTATACGGATTACATTGTACTGCTAGCGATTATCTTGCATGTAAAAAAAGAAATCACAATTTAAATTATAACCAACTTTCATATACAAAATACATATGAGTGCTGTGGAATGTAACTAAACTAATATTTAAAATCCGAAATTCTACGAAACGTTCAGAAACGTTTTAGGTTTCTAAGTGTTTTGTTTATATCTACCTAATTTAATTTAAACGATGTTACGAAATTTTTCTCATGAATCCACTCAAGAAGTTGTTAACATTATAGATACTTTATAAATGTATCTGTTTATACAAATTATCAGAAATGATGACCTTTAGTGGTCATAATAGCTTAATATCTATTACTGATTCAAACATTATTTTAAAATACTTGTTCTGGAAGTATTTGTCTCTGTAAAGTACCTACTAATATCTAAAAGAAATAATATGCAGTGCATATAAAGATCGAAAAAATAACTAGCTTTAGTTTAATATTAATTATACTGTTACTCCATTGCATTCAGGTACTGTAATTGTTTTAAATTTAAGAAGGAGCTGTCGTCGGTACTGGTGATGGTAAGTTAGAAGATGTTGAGCCAACTATTGGGATGCAATTTCCCGTTTCGTTGGGTTGTTGACCTGCAGGACAAGGAGCTTGGGTTTGGCTTGCTTGAGCGGCTTTAACTGCTTCTTCTTGGGCTTTTATTTCTTCATCGGTTTGCGGTATTGCCACAGTGGTGACACACAAGGAAACCTCTCCATTCTTAGACGCTTTGATAATATCACTGGGCACACTAATACTAGTAATATTTCCACCTTCCAAAGTCCCTGTTATTTTGGCATTTGAAATACAAGGCACGCTAATTGTTGTATTTTGAACATCCGGAGCTTTGTTAGGAGCAGGAGGCCCCGATGGAACTTCTGCAGTGGAACTTATACAAGAAACGTTGGCATTTTCACCGCATGGGGCGGTTTGGGCCGCGCTGGCTACACACATGATCGTTTGGTTTGTTGTACAGAGAGCAAAAGTATTGGGTGCACATAAACTCGTTATGTTCTCAGGACAAGTAGTGATTAGATTCGGAGGAAGCTCCATTTTAGGTGGAATCGCTTCGGCTTGGTTATTGTAATTGATAACTTTGTAAGGTTTTGATACCAATCCACTAACCAAATGCCAGATGAAAGCCCCAGCTAATACGTTACTGAGGGTGCTTCCCCAACTAGATTTTGGCTTTCCGTATGCCGCAAGGCCATAGTTATAGCCACCACCAAAACCGCCAAAGGATGGACCGCCGCCGAATCCTCCTCCGTAATGATTTCCATAACCGGGTTGTGAATAACTAGGTCCAAAGTGGGAGTTATAGCCGGGATTTGGATTATATCCTGTCTGAGGATTGTATCCCTGATTAGGGTAATGTTGATTGTAGCCAGTGTTGGTAGGATATTGCGAGTATGGTGGAGGTGGCCCATTAGGGTGAGCGTTGTATCCGGTGTTGCTAGGATATTGTTGATAGGGTGGTGGAGGTCCATTGCTGTAAGGGGGCGGGTTGTTTAAGTTAGAAGCGGTGTTTTTGGTGGCCGGCTGATTCGGTTGATTGACGAACGATACATGTTGCTGATTTGTAGTGCCGTGAGATCCTGGTGATGAAGGTGCATTATTCACATTCCATCCGATTGGTCTTTGATTTCCTGGGCTTCCTGGAGTTTGGGATTTCGCCGAATCTACGTTCCAACCCACTTTCTTATTAGCATCAATTTCAGTGTTCTTCTGTTCAAAACCTATAGGTTTCTGTGGAGATTGTGCACCTCCATGGGGCGGTGCCGAATTTGAAGATGCTTGCTGCTTCTTTTCGTTTGCAATGAAAGAATGGTTTGGATCAGGTGGCGCAGAAGGTTTGTGTTGTTGCACTCTCGTATTTGAAGAAGTTTGCTGACTATTCGGCTTCGCTATAGTCCATCCACTCCATCCTCCGCCTGCTGCACCTGATGCTGTTTCAGGTGCTTTGTAGGTGTTGGTCACTTGTTTCCTATTCGATCCGGTTCCACGTCTGTTCGACGATCCTCTACTTTTGCTACGTCCCCCGTATTTTCTTGCTTCGACATTGAACGAATCCAACAATACAACCACACACACGAGCAAAATCACTGCAAAATTCTTCCACCGCATTGTGTTGTAGGAAGACCTTGTTTCACTTTTAACGTTCAGAACTAACTAAATGTTGTTTTTATGAGGAGAGAATTAAATAATAACGCGCATTATCGTTTCAAAGTATTCCTTTTGTTAACGTCAAAGTTCAGTCTAATGATAAGCCTTGCGGTTATTATTATATTGTTGAATCAATTGCGACAACTAAGCAATAACGGTACTGACTGGACACTGCACAAATACTCACGATCAGATACTCAGTAACATCGACACTGCCACTGCTCACTGCTCAGTAACTGCTCTGCACTGCCGCTGTTTCGGTTGTTGATTGTTGGCAGTAAAATTAAATTAAGGCGCGGTGAAAGTTAGCCGAGGTCGTCTGTTTAATTCAAACTGACTGTTTTTAATGATGGAAGCCATTCTATAATAGAAAAGAATCTTAATCTTTTGAACTGAATATTTTTTAACTAGCCAATGACTCAGGTTTTGAGGTGAATCATCACGTTTGGGAAATGTAGTGGGTGTTTTGAGTATTCCAATTGTAAAATTTAATAAACAAACATGTAACTAGAGGATTCCGATTTAAAAAAAGTTACCATAATAGTGATGCAACCTATCACTTGGTAAAAAAATATTTAATAAAGAATAACTGTTTAACATAACCGTAACAAGTATCGAAAACTTTTAAATAATTTTCTGTTAAGTTATTTTTCGAAAAGTATGTCAATTTGATTATACGAGTGTTTAATTAAATTAAAAACCTAGTAAAAAAATTCAGTGTGCAAATATTTTATAATACAAGGTTTTCTTAAGGAAAACGTATCAGTATTAATATCACATTTAAATAGGAAACGAAAAGATGAAGGAAGCCCTTTACACAACTTTATTTGAACCATAGGGCGTCAGTCCTAAAACTGGTCGGGCATGCTCCTTCATTCTTTCCTAAGTATCCTGGGCGCATATTCGTAAAATTAAAACATCTTAGATCCCTAACCAGTTGGTTTTTTCGTAAAAAACACTGTACTGTTTTTGTCTTAAACGAGAAAGTTGTTCTTAGTTGTTCTATCATGTTAGGTGAAGCATTAAATTGTATTATTAAACGGTTTCTCACTTTTATATTCAATTTTCACTGCAGTATTGTAGAAAGAAACTAGCAGACCGAACAATGAACAAGTTAGAATACATGGTTCAACAATCATTATGAAGAAAATACTAATTTAATTACAAATCGTACGTAGTTTGGTAGTAATTTTCACGAATAATAGTTTATCTTTAAAAGAAAACTAAAATTTAGTATTGTGGTATACATAGAATTTTTTAACCTATGCATTAACATTAAAGGCTTTTAGAGTTTTATAATTGCATGGTGCAAGGTTTTGTATACAGATACATCAGACGGCAGTAATATCTTTTTTAAGAAATTTTTTTTGTTGAATGGTATGTACTTTTAATCGTTTGATTGATTTACGTGGAAGAGGAAGTATGAATAACTTTTAATATTGTTTGTTGTTTTGTCATTTTCTAATAAGCATATTCAAATGCATCTTTGTTTAGATTGACGTTTTGAAAAAGAAGGGGATGAATCAATAAATAATAATTTTATTTGTAAGATAATACAAGATAATTAGTATTTACAAAGTAACACAGCTCGTTCTATATTGTACTCTAAAGTTCTTTTGACAACTTTTGATAAGCAATATTCTGGCTTGCATCTCTGAAAAATTAGTAATGTAATTTGTAATTTCAGTATTTGTTTTATTTAGACACATCTCTTCTAATCGTTAGATAACACAATATTCATTTAGATGACCTAAATACATATTATGTGTATTGTACATACATGTACCTACAGTTGAATTAAAGGTACCTACACATGTGCAATGTACTATNCTATTTAATATTTATTTTGACATGTGTCACAATATGCAACAGATTTTGTGTTTTCTTTTATGTTTATGTTCTACTGGAGAAACTGGTTGACAAACAGGGGTAGTATGGAGGGTATGAACGGTTAGTTCAATGTCTTTTGATAATTCTGGGTCTGAAAGGAAATTTACCATTAAGAATAAATCCTTTCATTCACACTTCAGGTTCTCATGGTTGACGAAAATACCTTTCGTTAATAAATACTTTTGCAAAAATCATCAAACATCTGTTTAAGTTTGTAATTGAATGTCAACAGGTTTTTTATTTTATCTTTGATCTTGGTTCTTGTGAAAATGTAAGACCAATATCAAGATTGCCTTTAAGCTAGTAAAGACCAAGGCCGAACGAACAAGATCAAGACTAGAAGTATTTGAGCAAGATGAAGATCAAGACCGGATAAGCAAGACTAAGATCCCAATCTTGGTATTCGTCTTGATCATCACTAATATCGATACTGTAAGTAATTAAGTACTTAATTAATGGTAATTAATTAACTAGGTACTTAATAATTACCGAATTATAAAATGTTGGCAGATATCAAAAGAAATTCTACATACCTTTTAGAGCTTCCACAGGTTTGTCGATGGTATCATGGTCTATCCATGTGAGACCCATTTCGACCTTTTCGGCCAAATCCTGCCAGTGTTTTCTGTTTTCCAGAGTCCCTTGATACAAGGGATTAATCCACGGGAATGTGTCCGATAATACTTTGTACAAAGGTAGGCATATTACATCAATGAAACCTACCTGCATTTGAGGAAGTTCATCCTTCCTCTCTCTGTCCATCATTGCCTGGAATTAAATAGGGATTCCTGTAGGGTTTCGTCCATTCAATTTCTGAACGTGAATGTAATGGGAAAATCTAATAAGAATTTTGCCAAAAAAACAGAGAATGGTACAGAACAAATTTTGGCATTTTTTTCATTCTCTTGATAAAATACATATTATTGAATGCAGATATTATTTGCTCACCACCGGTTGCTGATTAAGTTGCATCTTTTCAAGATCGCCTTGGTCAAAAAATTCATCTGCAACAAGTTTTGCCACTCGATGTTGAACTTCCCAGGGTTTAGAAATAGCACTTACATCACAAGCAGTCATTAGCATGCTGGATAAAACTGGAACAAAAATAAAATTTTGAAAAAGCCTTAGGATGGTTTTGACTCTTGGTGTAACATTCTTAAGCGAGACTGTTGAAGTCCATACGATCAACTTAACTTTCCATAAGATAATTGATAACGCCTAGATCAAACTTAATGAAACTTCATTCAGATTATATTATAGTAACGATTGGCACGTCAACTTCTTTTGAAAATAGTGTACAGTAAACAATTTATTGAATAAGAAACATAAAAATATGTTGAAAAACATTATTATTTTCAAATCAGCTACTTATACAGTAGAATCCGCTTATAATGTCATCGAAGGGAAATGACAAACACGTCATACTAAGCGGGCGTCATACAAAGCATAGTCTTAGAAAATAAACAACTTTCTATTTTGGTTAGCTATTTAGTTTAATAGAGAGAAATACTACAAATTGTATATATTTATTAACAAAAAAAGAAAAAGAACCGTGAATTGTAATATCAATATACATAAGAAGGGTCAGAAAAATGACCCAAATTGTTATTATTAATCATTTGGGTCACTATAGCCGGACATGATTTCTTGAGAATCAGTCATAATAAACGATATGTCATTTTAAACGGAGTNTAGTTATTTAGTTTAATAGAGAGAAATACTACAAATTGTATATATTTATTAACAGAAAAAGAACGATGAATTATAATATCAATATACATAAGAAGGGTCAGAAAAATGAGCGAAAATGTTATTATTAATCACTATAGCCTGATATGATTTCTTGAGAATCAGTCATAATAAACGATATGTCATTTTAAACGGAGTTATTATATTCAAACTTTCCTGCAGAGAATTTAATATGAAAACCAAACTTAACACTACAATTACTTCATATTAAGCGGTTGGTCAATATAGGCGGAGTCATAATAAACGAATTCCACTTCTGTATTCAATGTTACTCTTTATATTAAGGTATACTCTCTACCTTTATGTCCTGTAACTTTTTAATAATGGAAACATCATTCTTTACGTTTACAACAATATAAAACGAAATTTCTTTCATTTTTTATAGTCTGCGGCAATGTGTGTTAATGACTAGTTCTTTTGTTCTTATATTAATCGAATATTGTAATAGGACAATATAAAAAATATATTCAAAAGTAAAGTACTGTCTGGCGGTCCATGAAATTTTATTACTACTGTAAATACGTTAACGTGTGCTAGTATTTACGCCTCGGTTGCCATTAAATTTGCAATTCAAATTTCAATTCTGTTGTACCGATATGACATGAACTTCCATCAAATTGAAATAAAATTCACTGGAGTATTACCTATTATTGCAATAAATACAATATGAATAGGTAGAAGTCGGTTCTACGTTTCTCATTTTCTCAGTGTCTAGACATATAAAATTTAAGGAAAATACTTATAGCATTTCTAAACCTTACAAACAGGAAAATAGATGGTGACTCACAAACGGCAATCGGGGTAGCCAGTGACATACGGTAATTTAAAAAGAGTGCGGAACAACCGGCCACACGATTTGACTAAAATGAGTGCCATAAGAAAAAGTTCGAGTTCTTGAAGAGGTGTTTTTTGGGAGTATCGTGTCGTCAGTGGTATCAGATGAAAGGTATATGTGTCAATGTGTGCAAAAAATTCAAAAACTAAAAAAGTACTGCAACATTTTAGGTAAAATTACTGATCATGAGGAATGATGAATGAATAATGAATGTAGTAGTTAATGACTTTGTCAAACTTTTTATCTCGTATGTACCTACCTATACAGCTTTTACTTCTGAATTCGAATTATAGTTTTGCACATCTTTTGAATAATTTTATATTAATTCTATTATTACTAATTGTATCAGTGTAAAAGCTTATTTCTAGTTAAGGATGTTTGGGAGGTATATCAAAATGCTACGAGACAAATAAAAATTTGGAAGAACGTTCCTCATTCAATTCTAAAACTCCTGTAAAAATTACAAATCGATTCACTAAACCGTTAAAAAGTTATTGAAATTTTAAAAAATTGTAATTT